TTGGAAATTGGTGAACCGTTGCATCTTGGGTGTTTCTTCAAAAACGGACCTCCAAAAACAGGTTGCCTGCGCCAGATTGGGCACGCTGCTCTGCTTCAACAGCTCCTTTCGAGGCTCCTAACGGGGTGCGGCAGCCCCATGCAGATTCCAGGAAAAGCTGCAGTTTTGTTGATCAGTTTCTGGGGAAAAGAATTTGTTGGTAATTTTTGGGATGTTTTTTTGAGGTTTTTTTTGGGATCAATTTTTTTCAGGCAGCGGCTTGGAGGCATTTTCCAAGTGTTGCACTTTTGAACCGCTCCTCCCGCGGCACTCAGGTGGAACTCACCAGAAAATCAACAGAATTGGCATCGGCAAAGGGGTCTACATCCTCACAATTCTTGAAGGATTCAACTAATTCCCAAAATATGGATCTTAACCTCATCTAGCTATCTGCACTCTATTCATGGATTGGGAATTGAACTTGCAAACATCTGGAAACATCTACCCATCCCAAATCTCAAACATCTAGGATCTGAAAATCTACATAGTTTCAGTTGATTACCTCGCGGGTAAAAGATAATAACTATTGCAAATCACCATGTTTAACAAATTATCCATCTAGAGTTGCCCATTTTCCATAGTTATGCAACAAATTACCTCAGGGTAGGAGATATACCATCCCAAGTTAGAGATATCACCGGTATGTTATGTAATCGAAGCAAAATATCCCATGATTATCCCATGTTTATCCATTTAATATCTGAATATTCCATGAATATCGCATCTTTTTGAATCCCATTCAAAATTCCATTCAAAATTCCATTAATATCCCATTAATATCCCATTAAATCAGATTAATTTTCCCTTGGCTGTACGAACCCCCCGTCGCTCCACATAACGACGCCGGGGGGCCGAGGATGGCCTGGGCCAGGGTGAGAGAACGTCTGAAGAAAATTGAGACGTGTCCATTATATGATATGATATGATATTAAATATTGATATGATATGATATGATATGACATGATATGATATGACATGACATGATATGACATGATTTGATATGATATGATATGATATGTATATATATATATATATGTATATATATGTGTATATATATACACATATTTTGTATGTATGCATGTACCTGTGTACGTATGCACGTATGCACGTATGTATGTACGTGTGTGCGTTACTCATACCAGTTGCCAGCGGCTCAGCGCCTGGGAACGCCCGAGCCGTGCATGGCTCCGATGGCTCCGGGCCTGGCCAAGCGTGGCTGGGAAGTCCCTCGGAGGTTTTTCGTGGGAAAATCCTCTATGACTATAAATGATCATAAATGCATGATGTACATACCATACGTATGTATATGTTATGTATATATATATATGTATATATATATAATTATATATATATGTATGTATATATATATATATATGTATGTATGTATATATATATGTATGTATGTGGTTCCATGAGATCTTCATTTCTATCTATGAAACATGACTTTGACTTTTTTCATAAGAAGTTTTAAGTTGTCTCATCCACCGCGCCTGCGCCGATCCATGGCGGCAAATACCGCTGTTGCGCCGCGGATGGAACCAGCTGTTTTCGAAACGACCAGCTGAATGGTTGAGAAATGGTACTCCTACCTGACCTCCTCATGCAAATATTCCCACCAAGCAAGCCTGACATGAAAACTACCCCGCATCCCCAACAGCAAAGTTGGTTGGAAAATGTGGAAACAACTGCAATTTTGGCATGGGGCGCGACTTGATTTTGAACCAATGCAATGTGTGTGTGTGTGTGCATCACGCGAAGAAGATGGAGAAATACACCTCAAATGTTGAAGTTGCAGTAAAACAAAGTCATGCGCGGAACCTTCCGGAACCAGCCCCTGCACCCTGCAGCGGCTCCCAGCCCGAACCAGCCCGGGGTTACCCACCGGAAGCTGCAGCGAACCTTATTCGGGCACCCCTAAGCTAACGTCAAAAACGATACGAAACCAAGGTTTCTAGGAGGGGTATTGTGTCATCACCAGACCGCCATGAACCTCCAGGGATGGAAAATCATCCGCGTTTTAGGTAAATCATCATCAATCATCTATAAATGGTCCAGTTTTCATAGCAAACTGTTAAATTTCCCTGCCGGTTTCCTGATTGCTTCAGTGCTCCGAAGCAAACACACATACACTATCATACACTTACACGTTAGCAATTTATGCATATACAATCATATACACGCGCACTTACATTCTATATACAGCATATACATCACCAGTGTGTGTGTTCTTTGTGCGTATGTGTATCGTTGCATCACCGACTTCTCTGTGCCCTGAAACGTCCTAGCGTCCTGCGGAAAAAAACTCACCGTACGGCCGTACGTCAGCAAATATGACATGGTCACCACTTCCAATCACTAACAAATAGCGTTTATATCGTTTATGGTGAGGTGGGCAAGTGAGATAGTGAAGTTTATGATCTGTCAACAAAAAAACAGGAAGGGCAGCAGCTGCACCCGCTCATCGTGCAGTGAAACGCTGACCACCAAGCAGCAAAATATCAGCGAATGCGATCATCATATTCTTTCTTCTGGAGTTTGCTGGGAATAGTAAATAAAGTCTGAAAACACCAACAAGCAAGTGGTGTGTACTAGTGGGCTTCCAACGCACTTGTCCATCGGATAATTTCAGGACTCTGTGACAAACCAAACACAAAGTAGATGTCCTTTTAACTCGCAAACCCTTGTTGATTGGTGGGATCAAGTACCATTTTCAAATGGTCCTATTGGTCGACCCCCATTTCGGAACCCGCATAGTTCACATTCCATTTCGGATGTCCCCACGGTGATTCCCCACGGTTGGGACAGCTTTTGCGCTAAAGCAGGACGTCCCAAAGGCGGTTTGAAGAGATGCGCCTGGAAAGGTCAGCTCCGATGTCTGTTGGTGACTGGCGCCAAAAAAAGGTGCCACTGTCAGACTTGGGTCATTAAATGTCCCCATTGAACATCACCCAACCAAAATCGGTATATGGTCAATGCCATGGCTACTATGGTTGGTGATGTCCTTTATATACCCAAAATGGGACAGGCAAACCAATCCCTGTCAGACTTGGATGTTTTCCATTGTTTTCCATGGCATTCGATTCCTTGCCACTTGAATCTCGATTGTTCCAAGAATTTCCCCAACTCGCCGCGGCACCCCCTCGCCGCCATTTCGAATCTTCCATTCGAGGGTCTTGCTCATAGAGCTGGCAAGCAAAGAAGTCGTCTCAGTGGAGTATTAGTGACTCCAGTGTTCAGAATCCCAATGGCAATGATGGCTAAGAAACATCGGCTCTTGAATCATTCATTGGATTGATTTAAGGGAAAATCTACAGGAAACCATGGTTTTTACCATCAAATATAGGGCCTTCCTGTAAATTTTCCCATCATCCAATTCTATGAATCATTCTTGAATGTGTTTGATCAAATTTTGATGGACCATCTCGACCAAACATCGAAGCTTGGACTTCCATGCCTGCACCCCCGGCCACCCTTCGTCACAAAGGGCACCAGGCGGGACTGGGAAGTTCCACGCGCTGTACCGGGAGCCACCAAAAAACGGGAAACGGCGGCTCCAAGCATAGCGGAGAGAGGAACTCCCACCTTTACCTTTACTGGGAATGCTTTACATTGTCCGGCCGCGGGATCATGGTGAACCATGGCCAGACCAAAAGCCGTGAGAATTTGGCTCTTAGGCCTCTCACTTCATCAATTTGGAATTGCAATGGAGTACCTGATTCGCTCAGTTGAGTGATTGTACTCCGTTGAAACAAGCAGCCATACCATCTCTTATACTAGCACATCCGATTTCCAGTCGTCGCATTCTTCAGCATCTGAGACCTTTCTCGTTAATATAGTTTCAGAGCTGCTGTTTTTCTATCCGGGTTTGTCTCAAATCTGGAACCATTGACCTTGGAGGTGCATAGGATCCGACGAGACAAGCAGTGCATCGAATTACACGCGATGAACACCGCGCGTCGTGCCCATGGCGTTCGGCGCCGCGGTGTCAACGTGCCTCCCGATCGGCGGTTGACAGTTTGTTGGAGACTCAGGGGAACGGATGATGGTTATCCAACAGCAACATATTCATCAATTCATGTTTAACCATTGTTCATATTAATCTGTTGTTAATCCGATATTAATTCATCACCAATTATTGAGTTTGATCCCCATGTGGCCCATATCTTCCCAAGTGTCACCGATGACTGCCGTGTTTTTTGGTGATGTTGGTCCCAAAGATCCGTTGAAGCCAGGCATCTGACCCTAGAGATCAAGCAAAGTCAACAACTGGATTGGCTGAAGTTCAAAGGGCAATACACCCGTTGAAACAGTTGCGAAACTGCGTAAAAGCTTTAAAAAAAAACACTCCCACACACATCAAACTTCAAAAACCCCACGACTGACTATGGGTAGCTCAAACTTGGGTACCCCAAAAAGTTGGATGCTTCGTGCTGTGCCTTGGAAAAGCCGAAGGATGCCGTCCTGTGCGGCAAATCTGCGATCCGCTGGACCAGGAAGCCAGGCAGTGTCAGGGAGCTACGAGAAAATCTCCCAATCTATATATATATATACATATATATATACATATATATATATACATATACATATACATATATATATATATACATATATATATACATATACATATACATATACATATATATATATATACATATATATATACATATACAAATACATATACATATACATATATATATACATATATATATATACAAATACATATACATATACATATTCATATATATATATGCATATTGTATATATATATATGCAAAATGTGTATCTAATATACGTGTGTATATAATACAAGACTATAACCCTCTATGGTCATCAACCAACTGCTTTTTTTGAAACTGCTCACCTGAAACATCTTGACCAATTGAACCACACGAATGAACTTCACTGATAAAAGTGGTTGGTTTTCCAGCCTCTTGTTCAATTGCAATGGATCCATCCAGTCCTCATACGGCTGCTGAGCCCTTGGTGCCCTTGCTGGTCATCGATTCCTGGTCGCGTGCGACCCTTTGGATTGGATCATGTGGTGCTACCTGTCACATTGACCCGAACAAATCCAGCAGAAAACCTGGGTTTCCAGAGGGGGTGTTTGAAAATGACAGTGGGGAAGTCGACTTGAGGGTCATCTCAGGCCATTCCGGGATTCAGCTTCAAGCGGACATCTGAACAAAGCATCGATGAAAAGTCTGTGGATTAACTGATGTATACATGTTGTTGACCAAGAAATTATTTGTGTGCATACTTTTGTCCTGACAAATAAGGTGACAATATGTGACAATATGTTTTCCCACTCCATGAGACTTCTATCGCATCCCCACCCCAGTTTGTTGGTTTGACTTGTAGGGCTGAAAAAACAGGGCTGGGTTGTGTTGCTCCATAATCCAAAGAAAAATGATAGTCTGATGATATAATCATAGAAGTAACGCGTAACAATTTTAATACTCATAATAATCAGAATCGAGTTCCATGTTCATTTGAAATACACCAAAAAAGCAAACCCTGGTGAAATGTCCACCAAATCTATCACCTGGGGAGGGTATCTAATATGATAGGAGAATAGGATTACCGGATTGCCAGTTTCTTCTTGAGGAAGTGTCAGAAACCTTGGTTGAGATGTTTCTTAACCTACCCTTTTCATATCTTGATGAAATCCTCATTCCCCTTTGAGAACTGTGAATTCTCATTTTCTTCATCCAATCGTTCTAACTTGTGGATTTAACAATATTTGGAATTTGTCCAACAAGAATCCCCATATAATTATTTTGGTGATTTTCCAATAATACCATCCCCCCAACTAACATGCACCCCGAGAACTAGCACTCTTCAGAGGAACGTAGTCTTTGAGGGTCAAACTGTCAATTTGGGGGAGGGTAAATCCCATGTATGGTTGGTTTCCTTGGTCCTGTGAAAAATTGCCAAACATCACCAGCCAAAAATTGCCATCTGCCATCTCGGCACCTGGCGCTCCAGCATCCGGCTGTGTGTTCGCACCAGATTTTCGAAGTCGGCTTCCACCTCATGGAGCGCCTCGATCATGTGGCCCATTTCTTCGTCCAGCTCGACCACCTCGTGAGGACCAAGGACTGGGAAATTGACGATATCAAAGATGGGGATGTTGCTGTTTGTCCTACAAAATGGTAAACACACACCCAATGATGGGGATAGGCACGGATCCTGCAGGGTCTACCATATTGTCACTTGGCACAGCTCACCACGGCTTTGATCACTTGGAAAGGGTCGGCACCAACCAATTTCAACTTCCAAAATCTACACTTTGCAAAAGGAGACTATACATAAAGCTATCATCGTTATATGTATGTGTGCGTAATATGTGTGTGTGTGAATGTGTATATATATATGAAACCGTATATGCACAATATATATATACATGTGTGTGTCCAAATTTATGCGTATGTGTATATATTAGATACAAACACAATTGCATGAAAATAAAATATATCTACATCTACCCCACTCACCATCCCCCCCTGCGTTTTTCGGTGACGTCTGGGTTTCCACGCCGACTGGTCATTTTTCTCCAAGCTCTGCAGCCGCGAACCCATGTGCTGAAGCACCTCGTGAGCCTCGCGGATGTCGGATTCGAAGCGTTCCTGCTCCAACTTCTTGATGTACTCCTGGTAGGTCGGGATCCCCATGGTCCAATGGTGGGTCGCCAAACCACCATGGTCACCATGATGGAGGTTGGTTCGCATGTTTTCATCATCAACTTCTTGGATTATGTATGTACATGTAAATGTATATTATATAGATATGGTTTTATACATAACATATAGATAGATAGATAGAGATAGAGATAGAGATAGAGATAGAGATAGAGATAGAGATAGAGATAGATAGATAGATAGAGAGATAGAGAGATAGAGAGATAGAGAGATAGAGAGATAGAGAGATAGAGAGATAGAGAGATAGAGAGATAGAGAGATAGAGAGA